AATGAAAGACTGTCAAGACAATCTCAGTTGTAAAATATACCTAAATTCTGTTGCACAAAATGGAGGAGGGCAGGAGGGGAGAATTGGCCTATCTTTGTCAAATACACAGCTCACAGGAGCAGGGAGCTCTATCAGGGGCTCAGCGCTCTCTAGCCAGAATCAGTTTCAGAAAGCCTGCGATGAGTGAGCCGGTAGTTCACTGTCTTCAGTACAAACACATCTGAAAACCCTTTGTGTGTCTGCCTTTGACGACCTCCAAAATCAATTTCCTTATAGGCTAAGTCATGAGATGAGCCAAGAGTTGAACCGTAATACATATATTCTGGGGATAGGAGGAAAGAACAAATTTACATGAAACATTGGGATTCTCCAAAAAAGAAGGTACGCTTTCCTATAGTGTTCTCTCCAGACGTCCAGCTTCAATCGGAGACTGACCTGGAAGGACAAAGCAGTGCAGTATGGCATAGTTTAGGGTCAAAAGCTTTTGCCACGGGATGGTTTTGGAAGGACTGTATCTAGAAAGGCTGCTCTTGAGGTTGTGTGAAACCCCCATGTTAGACCACGGCAGTGCAGGCGTAGGTATCCAGTTCAGAGTCTCCCAAAGTGGATGGGGAAAGAAAGATTTAATCCGTTTAGTGCCCTGTGGGGCTTCTAAAAAGTGTAAGAATAGAAGTAATGGAAAAACAGCTTCTTGCGGTTTGGTTAGGGAGGCCTGTTCCTTGCCAGCAACCTCTGTGAGAGCATGGAACCATATGCTCCTGCTGCAGTTGTGTACCTGCATATATCACAATATACAATAAATATAGATAATGTACAGTGAATGCATTGGGGGAAAAGACAAGGAAATTATTTCTGAGGTATATGTGAAGAACCTTTCTGCCTTTTGTCACTATTTGTCATTTGAATTTTAAAAGAATGACAATAAGCAGACTTGAAAAAATGCAAATTATTCTTCCGAGAGCAGCATTTTGACTAACATGACTTTTTTTAATTAAAATAATAGATGTTCTCTCATGACACCATAATTAATTCACTGATATTCAATATTTATCTGGTGAACTGTAAATAGAATAATATGCCTAAATTGTTTCTCCCAGGCAATTTCTCATTAAAAATCACTTACCACAAAATGTCAAAAATAATTCAGGCACTATCAAAGTGCACGCATGATTACAGTAAAAAATGTGTGTGAAGTAGGTATTGCTCCCCTCAAACACCTACCCAAATGGCCATAAAAATGGCTATTAAAAAAACAGAACTACAAGCCATAATACCTGGCTTCTGCTATTTGCTCTGGTACAGTCCTTCATATCCGACGTTTGATAAATAACTTAATCACTCCGTGCTTCCATCGAGATATTAAAAACAGGATCCTAAATCCTTAAATGCCTGTCCCAGCACATACCTGTTCACCTCATACTCTCCTTGTGGTGAGTGAGAGACAGACTTGCCCAGTAACAGCCCCCC